AACATAGTGATCAATGCCTAGCTGTCACCTTACTTGAAGTTCCTGCCCAATTTTTGTTATAATGGAGCCAATTGCCAATTATTATATGCAAATGCCCCTGGTGTGAGCAAGTCAATGGGGGAGAGGTAATGAAGAAAAGTACAAATCACTTATTGCTTACTAAACATGCATTTATTCCCACTTCACAAGTTATTTAAGCAATTAATACATAAAGAAATTGGGGTGAATGAAGCAGTCCAGCATTATGGGAGCTAACTAGGTAGAGAGGACAGTGCTACCCAAACTCTTGGATTTGGTCAGTTGGTCAAACTCCACAGGCCTCCCAGATCCTGGATACCCCAGTCAATATGTAAATAACATCTGCTGGGTGGTGCTGCACCCATCTCCTCAAGGAAAACATATAGTGCAGTATATAGCCCACTCTGTGCCCTTCAGAAAGATGTCCAACCCAAGACTTTTCTTAATATTCTGGTGACAGAAAGGTTTTTGTGTTTGCTTATTCATTTTGCTTTTATTTTATTTTGACTTTAATTTTTAAAATAATAGTACTTTATCAGATATCATTTTTTAGAATAGTTTTAAGTTCCAGCAAAACTGAGAAGGGAGGTATAGACACTTTCCATATGGTTGCTGCCTACCCCAAACTCACAATCTCCCCATTATCAATCTCCTCCACCAAAATGGTACACTTGTTTCAAATGATGAACCTCCATCCCTACACCATTACCATTCAAAGTTCATAGTTTACATTAGGAAACACAGTCTACGGATTTGGACAAATGTACAATCACATGTATCCACCATTATAGTCTCACACAGTGGTTTCACAGCCCCCCAAATCCTACATGCTCCACTTAATCTCCTCCTCAATAATAGTCCCTGATCTTTTAAAACATGTCCATAACTTTTTCTTTTTCTAGAATGTTATATATGTCATATAGTTGGAATCACAATATGTAGCTTTTTCAGCTTGACTTTTTCACCTAGTAGTATAAATTTGTTTCCTCCATGTCATTTCAAGGCTTAAAAGTTCATTTTCTTCTTCTTTTTGTGGTGAATAATATAATATACTTCATTGTCTGTATGGACTACAGTTTTATCATACTGAAGGACATATGAGTTGCTTTCCAATTCTGGCAGTAGTGAATAATGGTACTATAAATGTCCATGTATAGTTTTTTTAAAAAAATTTAATTGATTTTATTTTTTAAATACATGACAACGGAATGCATCACAATTCTTATTTACACATATAGAGCACAATTTTTCATATCTGTATATAAAGTATGTTCACACCAATTCATGTCTTCATATATGTACGTTGGATAATGATGTCTATCACATTCCACCATCCTATATGGAAAATACATCTTCAGATTCTTTGGGAAAACACCAAGGATCTGGATAGCTGGATTGTATCAAAAGAGTATGTTTAGTTTTATAAGAAACCACCAAACTATCTTTCAAAGTAGCCTATAGTATTTTGCCTTCCATCCAGCAATGAATAAGACTTCCTGGTGCACCATATGATTGCCCACATTTGATGATGTCTGTGCTCTGGATTTTGGCCATCCTAACAGGTATATGGTAGTGTCTTACTATTGTTTTATTTTGAAATTCCCTTTTGCAACATATCTCATATGCTTATTTACCATCTGTATAGCTTCTTTGCTGAAGTGTCTGTAAGGTTTTTGACTCACTTTTTAATTGGGTTGTTGATATTCTTAAAATGCTGAGATTTAAGAATTCTTTATTTTGAATAATAGTAATAATCTTCACTTTAAAAAATATATACTGACTGTTGTTGGCCATTGTTTCTATTCAGAGTGTCTTCACATTTTTATTGATATCAACAGGTTGGCCTGATGTTCAGTGAGTAGTACAGTTTCTGCTGTTGGAGAGTCTTTCTTCGATGTTGATGGCTGCTGACTGGTCAGGATGGTGGTTGCTGAAGACTGGGGTGGCTGCAGCCATGTCTTAAAATTAGACAACCAGGAAGCTGGCCCCATTGATTTACTTTTCCTTTCACAAAATATTTCTCTGAAGCATGCCATACTAATGATAGTATTTGACCCAGCATTCTACTTCTTTCAAAACTGGAAGCAGTTCTCTCAAAATCCTGCTGCTGCTTTATCAACTAAGTTTCTATGTTATTCTGCATCTTTTGTTGTCATTCCAACAGCATTCCTGGCATCTTTACCAGGATCAGAATTCATCTCAAGAAACACTTTCCTTGCCTATCTAGAAGAGAAAAATCTTCATCAACTCAAGTTTGATCATGAGATTGCAGCAATTCAGTCACATCAAGCTCAACCACTGATTTCTAGTTCTCTTCTATTTTCACCACATCTATAGTGACTTCTTTACCAAAGTCTTGGACCCCTCAAAGTCATCCATGAGAGTTGGAGTCAACATTTTCCAAACTCCTGTTAATGTTGCTATTTTGACCTCTTCCGAGGAGAGTCACATATGTTCAGGCTCTAGAATGAAGCCTTTTTCAGGTTTTCAATTTGCTTCATCAAAAGAAACACTTTCTAAGGCAGTCATAGCCTTACAAAATGTATTGTTTAAATAATAAGATTTTATTTTTTTATATCATAAGACTTGTAAAAACTCTTTGATCCATGGGCTTCAGAATGCATCAGTGTCAGCAGGAGGGGAATAGCAATCATTTTTGTTTTGTGTCTCCACCGAACCCTTGGGTAACCAGATGCATTGTCAATGAGCAGTAATATTGAAGCAATCTTTTTATTCTGAGCAGTAGATCTCAACAGTGGGCTTAAAATCCTCACTGAACCATGATGTGAACCAGATGTCCTGTGTCACCTAGGCTTTTTAAGGCACGGTAGATTTAGTTTAATTCTTAAACACCCCAAGATTTTTAGAACCATAAAGGAGAATTAGTCTCAATTTAAAGTCATATAGTTATATAGGCCCTTAATAAGAATGCCACCCTTCCCTTTGAAGCTGTGAAGCATTGACTTCTCTACTAGCTATGGAAGTCTAGATTGTTTCTTCTTCTAATATAAGGCTGTATTTTCCATATTGAAAGTGTGTTTTTCATAGTAGCCACCTTCATCAATTATTTTAAGCAGATCTGGATAACCTGCTACAGCTTCTACATCAACACTTGTTTCTTCTGTCTTGCACTCTTGTGTTAGAAAGATGGTGTCTTTCCTTATACCTCATGCTGGATTCCTACTGACCCAGCCCCACCCATCACCTAGCTGAGAACACAGCAGGTCTGGACTGATGCTGGTTGACCAACCCCTTCGCCCCTCCCTAGACAGTCCTTCTGGGTGTGCTTCAAAGGTCCAGGTGCCTCCTGGGGTTTCTGGCAAAGCTTTTCACCTTTCAAGGGCACCAGGAAGCTTTCTGGAATCATGCAAATATTCTAGATCTTGATAGAGGGGTAACTCTCATGCATGTATTCATTAAAATTTCTCAGGCCCAACACATAATTACTGTATGTAAATCAAAACTCATTCAGGGGTATTTTTTGAAAGTAGGGCAAGTTTTCCAACCAAGGAACATTGAACCAAAGCTGGCTGTGCAGCCCCTGGAAGGGAGGGATGCAGGGGTAGACCTGTGCTTTGATATTCATTCCCTCTGCTGCTCACCATCTCTTATTGGCCTGGCAGGGGTCTCCCTACCCTCCCACCTGAGGCCTCACCCACAGAGCACTATCCATCAACCTCTAGGGTGAGATTTCTGATCATGCCACTCCCTTGCTTGTTGCTAGAACAGGCACAATCCAACTTTACCTCAGGGCCGTTGCACTGCTGGTTCTGTCTCTCCTAGACAGGACCTCTCATCATTTTGGGTCCCAAAGAGGCTTCCTGACCCAACTTTTTCTCTCACTTCTTCTATTTCATTTTGAACAGAACACCTGTGACTCCCTGATCTTAATTATTAAACACCTCCTCACATCCCAACTACACAACCTGAAGCTGACTTGTGCCATGGCACAGCCACCACCATACATAGTCCCTGGGTGCTTGAGATGGGGCCAATTTAAACAAAAGTCTACCCTAAATGTCATAAACACCCACATACACCAAAGAATGTAAAATATCTCCTATGAATCATTAAAATAACATTTCATATATTAGGTTAAATAGAACATTAAAATTATTTTCACCTGTGTTTCTTAACTTTTTAAAATGTTTCCTAGAAAGTTAAAATTACACATGGTTCATGTTATGTCTCTCCTGGGCAGTCAGTCTAAAATGTCAAGTCTAGGGTCAGTCACCTATGCTCCACCTCCAGGCCCTGGGTGGTCTGACCTAGGGAGAAGCCCTTCAAAGTTTTGCTTATTAAATGTTAATGAATTCTTAAGAAACTCATTAATTAATAAATTTATAAACTTATAAAATTAATAAAGGTTAACTCACTTATGTTTGGCAAAGAAGTGCCCCAGAACAAGGCACAGGCTGGCTCTTTTTGGCAAGTCTGAAATATCATACTTGCTCTGGCAATTCCCATTCCTTGACCCACAGCTCAAAGATGCCCCCTGACCTCTGATGACCCCAGGAAGCAAAGATTGCTCTTTCCTTATCTGGAGAAAAAAGAAGTCATGCTGGGCAGGTCAAATGCTTTTCAGGGCTCAGAAAGAGCAGACATCTTTGTGGAAACCAAGGTGACCCAAGTTTGGGAGCGCTCAGGAGGAGGATCAGGAGTAGAACTGGGGGATCAGGATGAGGAAGCAAGAGAGGGAGATACAGGAGGATGGAGTATATTGTGGGAGGGAAAATCTGAGTGGGATGGAGAAAGGGACAAATGAGGAGGGATAATGAAGGAGGGGAGACACTGTAAGAGGCCCAAAGTGCAGAGGAGAAGAGAACAGGGTAGAGGGGCCAGCCAGGAAAAGGAGGAGCCTGGATTGGGGAGGAACAGTGGGCCAGAGAGGGATAAAAGTGCTGTGGCAGCCCACTAAGTACTCAGGGTCTCTGGATCACTCTCCGCTCGGTTGCAGGTATAGCTCCATGTCCCAGCCAACCATGGCGATACCCCTGCACTTCCCACTGCTCCTTCTGGCAGCCATGGTGGCTGGCTATGCCGCAAGACCCGAACTCAGGAGCTCTCAACTAATGCTTGGCGGTCTGGAGGAGGCAGACATGCAAGAGGAGGGCGTGCATCAGGCGATTGACTACGCCATCAGCGTTTACAACCAGGAGAACAATGATCCCTACTATAGCCGTGTTCGCAGGGTGGTGCGTGCCCACAAGCAGGTGCATGCTCGCACCCCAGGCCTGAATCCTAGGAGTTGCCCCTCACAGGGCATCAAACGCGTCCCCAGCCCCTCCCTCGCTCCTCTAGCTGCTGCTTCCCATTTAGGTACACTGCCTGCTGCTATAGAGAGCTCAGCAGCCTATGGGCTCCGGGTGTTCTGATCCGCCAGGGAATTTACACACTCTGCTGCTCACCCAAGCCCTGTCCTAGGTAATTTTCTACTGCCCTATAGCCCTTTGTGGGCCTGTCCTGGGGATTGTCCTCACTCGGGGTTAGCCTGGAAACCCACCCTGCCTAGCACTCCAGGTGGGCTCCTGGTTCTTTATTTCTGTTTCCAGCCACCAGCAGGCAAGGAGCACCAGGGCTACAGGTCAGGATCAAAGTCAGGGTCTGCCCTGGTTATAGATCCCTACTGCCAGCTTGGAGAGGGCCTGGAATTAGTATGAACTGTTACTAAATGATGGGAGACAAAAAAACAGATGCTCCCCTGAATGCCTTCACGAAAAGATCTTTGAAAAGCTTTTTCCTTTTCACCTTTTATTTTGTCATCATTGCATCTCTAGGTCCTAATAGTAGGCCATGTTTCCTCCTTGGTCCTTGCTCTCCCAGGACACGTGTACATGCATGTACTTATATGCATTTATTTTTCTGGACCTTTTTAGAAGCAACATTTCAGCGCACCTTGCTTGCAAAATTGGACATTCTCTTATCTAAGATTCAGTTTTGAAAATCGGAATTAATACTGTCATATTTAGTTACTTAATTCACAGACTTAAATTTGCTGAAGTGCACTGATGGATGCCCCTGTATGCTGCAGTCACTGTCTCCTCAGCCTCCTTTCATCTGGAGCAGCTCCTGGCCAGTTTTCATGACCTTGACATTTCAAAGGGTCCCACCAACTGTGGTGTGCAGTCATGTGCCCACAAGGATGACTACATATACATTGCAGTTCCTTAAGATTGTATCATCTAGTGACATTGTAGCCATCTTAGTTTGATATGTATAATATGACATTTACCCAGTGAAATCCTCTAAGGACACATTTCTCAGAGCATGTCGATATGCTTATACTGGGTGTCTCAGATTTTTCCTCAGGATAGACCCCATTCAGAGTTCTCTGAGTAGGCACCACTCAACATGTCCTGAGTAGCCTTCATTCCCTGTGCATGGCATGCCCTGGGAGCATTCCCTGGGAGTAGCCTCAAGGGGCTAGTGTCTCTCACTCTGAGACAGTGCACCATAGTGAATAGTCGTGGGCAACTGAGTGCCCCCTGGGATTGAGAAGATCTCACCTGGACGCAGCCAGGCAATGATGGACTGAAACCTCTGGAACTGTGAGCCAAGATAACCTTTTCTTCTCTAAGTAGTTCATATCAGGTATTTTGGTCACAGTAATGAAAAGCTGACTAACACACTAGGTAAAGGTATTAACTCAGTGACATAAAGTAACAGCGTACATGTGAAAGTGACCTGGAGTGTTGTAAATGAATTCCGTTCTTTTCATTGTAGGTTGTCACTGGGACAAACTACTACTTGGATTTGGAGATAGGTCGAACCACCTGTACTAAGTCTCAGTCTGACCTGGCCGAATGTCCCTTCATTGAGCACCTACATGAGCACAAGGTATGTCATTGATGTGGGCCCAGGGCTGATTATCGAAGAGGGGCATGTGAGCTTGTTTGTATGCTCATGTGTGAGAGTGTCAAGAGATGCATGTGGATGGATGCATGTGTTGTGTGTGTGTAGATGAGTGGGGTGAGCGTGGTAGCACATGAATAGATACATGTGAATGTGGGGTGTGTGTGAGTTTATGCAGATGCAGACCTGTGCACATGTGGGGTGCTGCAGGAGGGGCCATGTGTGTACACATGATCAACTTAAATTACACAGCGGATTTTCCCTTCTAATTAGGGTCCCAGGAGGACACCCTTTTGTGTTTGAGTGTGCTGCCTGCTGGCCTGGAGAGGGCATAGCTACAGGGATGGTTGCTGAGGACAGAGAAAAAGCTCTGTTAGTCCCACCTTTGGCCACCTGCCCAGAGCCATGATGGACAGATTAGGGGCCTCTGGTGCTGTCCCTGCTTTCTCAGTGCCAGCCTCTCTATGGCCCTGGGAATATCTGCCCTCATCTTGTCTACCTTCCCCCAACCCTGATCCCTATTTCAGGGGTATTTCCTGTGCCCATTTCTTCCCTCTGCGCCCCTGTTGGTGCTGGCCCAGGTGCTGGAGGTGGAGGGAACTTGGACAGTGACAGCCTTCCGTGCCCTGCACCCCTGGGGCTCCCACAGACTTATACATGATCTGGGGTGAGAGTCACATGCTATCTTGTGGACTTAGAGCAATGGGCAGGGTGATGAGTAGATATTGAGTTTGGTTGAATGTCAAAATTGAACCTGGCAAAGGAGACAGGGGTTGAGAATTCCACATCCATCATTCTGTACCCCAATTCTGACATCTCAGATTGAACGTCTTCCCTGTTATCTGAATCACACACTGATTGTCCCTTTCTCTTCTTTTTACAGAGGACTTACTGCTCTTTCCAGGTCTACATTGTGCCCTGGCTGCACACGATCTCCATGACACAATACACTTGTCATAATGACTAAGGGTATGTGCCAGGCAGAACTGCATTGGCCACCCCTTCCTCACTCTACTCCCCTGTAATGCCCCAGACCCTCAGATAATCCCCCAGCCCTTATTGTGCCAGCACCAGCAGACCAGTGGAGATGGCTTACATCACTCTTCCCTTGTTTGTTCCTTCTCATTATTTTTCAAACACATTGGTGCCTTGGCCCATAAGGACCTCTCCTGCCTTTCTCAATAAAATAGTGACATGTATTCATCCTGAGTAGTTGCTGTCTTGGGGGTCGACGCAGGAAGGTTCTGCCACAGATGGGGAGCTGAGGCCTATGTGTGCGCACTGGGATATCTGGTCTCAGAGGACTGAAGAGAAGAGATGGGGTGGGATTGCAGGTATCCAGCTGCAGCTACTGCTGGGAAATGGACAAGAGAGAATAGGAACCTAGGCTCTCATCCTGGAAGCTTGGCTGCTGCTTAGATGGTGAGGAGAGTCTGGGCACTGCCCAGGGCTGTGGCACACTCCCTCCATGTGTGCACAAGTGATGGGTTGCTGGGATTATCCTGTCCCTGTCAGATTCCCAAGAGGCTAAATAAGTAGTGATTCCTGTCTCCTCCTATCCATAGAAGATTTGGACACCTGCATGAAACAAAGACTGAAAGTATATTGGTGTACACTTAATTGTGGAAATACCAGCCAGAATCCAAAACAGAACACATAATAGAGTGGAGGCACTGCTTACTCCAGTGCACCTAGGATGGGTGCCCAGTGGGGTTCACAGATGATACTCCCTGCCCTTTCTCTGCCCTTGATTGTAAAACAGTTCTTGTATGCAATTTTCTTAAGGGACATAGCTTTTAAAACATAGATGAATTGACATGCTGTGGACTTTCTTCTATTTGCAAGAGGATGTTTTCATTAATATCACCTCAGTATCATTACTGTTGTATAGTACATGGATGGATATTTCAGTGCCAAAAACAGGGAGTCTGAAGACCTAAAATATATGTGCTTCACCCCTTTGTGCACTGGGAGAAGCTTTCTCTGTCCCAGCCACTGGCATATGACTTTCAAGTGCCTTCCATGAGGTAGAACTGCACCAGAAAGCTCTCTTTCAGCCACTGCTATAACCACTGAAGGTGAAATGACAGAGATCCAACCAGATAGTGGAGGCTTATACCTAGAGTTGTGGAGTGGACAGGTGGAGCTCAGGCAGCAAGGCAGAGTGCCTCCTTCCATGCTGTTTCATTTCCTATACAGCCCTTCAGACGCAGTCTTCTCACCCCTAACTTCATTTAACAAAAGTCCTTGGATGAAGAAAGAAAAGCATCCCCAGAAGGTCATGAATCTGAATCTGGGCAATACCAGGCAGGCATTGTGAATTTTGTAATCCACATCTCCATGGAGAGCATTGACCATAGGCAAAACAGCAGATTCAGGACAGAGAAGGTCTATGGTAGGACCCCTGTCATGAGGTGGTCATGAGTTTCTATTTGCATGAAAGATCTGGGTTTGACCTGATTCTCTCTTTGGGGGAAGTGAAAGGTGGAGTAAATTTCATCAGATCTGTGACTCAGGCCAACCCCTTACAGTCTCTGAAGCTTCCATATCTCATCTGTAGAGAGAGTGCAGTGATAGTACCTTCCTTATTTTCTGTAAACCCTCAGTGTATGGCATGTGGTGATGTGTTGATGTTTATTACATGAAAACAGTGAATGCATATTAATCCAGTCAAAATGTTCATATGTTCACTTTTATATGCTGTCATAGGAGTCTATTTCTTTTTTCAAAAGATGCTCTTGCCAGGTGCGGTGGCACATGCCTGTAATCCCAAAAACTTGAGAGGGTAAAGTAGGAGGACCAAAGAGTTCAAAGCCAGCCTCAGCAACTTAGCTAGGTATTTAGCAATTCAGAGAAACCCTGTCTATAAAAAAAGAATTGGGGATGTGGCTCTGTGTTTAAATGCCCCTGGGTTCAATCCCTGGTACACACCCGCCCCCAGCAAAACAAAAATGCTCTTAGCCATGTATCTGGGTCTGCTTTTTTCCTTCCTCTTATACTCTTTCTTCATTGCTTCCTTTCTTTCATTCTTCCGATCACACCATTTTAGATGGGGAGATTTTATCTTGATTCACTTTTCTTCTCCTAAATTCTGTTTTCTGAATATATTTGTTTTTCCAGATGAAAATATTTTTTTTCTGGTTCAAAAAGTACAACTGTTGATCAAAATACATAGTTTCTTCTCAGCAAAAGAAACAATCTGGAAGGTAATCAGACAGCCTACATCCTGGGAGCAAATTTTTAACCCTCACACAATCAGAGTACTAATCTCTAGGGTATATAAAAAACTCAAACAGCTAAGCACCAAAAAAACAAATAATCCAATCAATAAATGGGCCAAGGACCTGAACAGAAACTTCTCGGAAGAGGATATACAATCAACAAATACATGAAAAAATGCTCAGCATCTCTAGCAATCAGAGAAAGGCAGATCAAAACTACTCTAAGATATCATTTCACTCCAGTCAGAATGGCAGCTATTATGAAGACAAGTGTTGAAGAGGATGTGGGGAAAAAGGTGTACACATACATTGCTGGTGGGATTGCAGATTGGTGCAGCCAATATGGAAAGCAGTATGGAAATTCCTTGGAAATTTGGGAATGGAACCACCATATGACCCAACTATCCCCCTCCAAAGGACTTAAAAACAACATACTACGGGAACACAGCCATATCAATGTTTATAGCAGCACAATTCACAATAGCTAAACTGTGGGGCCAACCTAGATGCCCTTCAGTGGATGAATGGATAAAAATAAATGTGGCATATATATACACAATGGAATTTTACTCAGCAATAAAAGAGAATAAAATCAAGGCATTTACATGTAAATGACGACATTGGAGAAGATAATGCTAAGTGAAGTTAGCCAATCCCCCAAAACAAATGCCAAAGATTTTCTCTGATATAAGGAGGCTGACTCATAGTGGGGTAGGGAGGGGGATCATGGGAGAAATAAATGAATTCTAGATAGGGAAGAGGGGTGGGAGGGAAAGGGAGGGGGTAGGGGGTTAGCAAGAATGGTGGAATGTGATGGAGATCATTATCCAAAGTACATGTATGAAGACACGAATTGGGTGTCAACCTATTTAATATACAGAGATATGAAAAATTGTGATATATAAATATGTAATAAGAATTGTAATGTAAAAAGTACATGTATAAAGACATAAATTGGCATGAACATACTTTATATACAAAGATATGAAAAATTGTGCTCTATATGTAAAATAAGAATTGTAATACATTCCGCTGTTGTAAATTTAAAAAAATAAAATCAATTTTAAAAAGTACAACTGTTGAGTTTTGAACTAGGAATACATTTTAATGTTTATAATTCCATTTGGGAATAATTTGGACAACATTTAATATTCTAGTTTTTCACTTAGGCATATTTTAACTATGTCCTTCAGTGGAGTAAAACAGACTTTTCTGTATCTTTCATGTTTTCCATAAATTTATCCCTGGATATTTGATTTTTTGATGTGACAATCTCTCTCTTGTATCAGTAACCAGTCATCACTGATGATGTTCCCTGTTCCCATCCATGTTCCCTGATTCTCTTGCAGCTGCTTTGGGGGCTGTCATTCACAGGCTCCCAGGCTTGGGTGCTTCACATGCAGGAGCTGGCTCATCACTATTGGCACAAGTGGCCTTGGATGAAAGCCAGGGCTTCAATAAAATGCAGAGACAGAAAAGTCCACCCAGCCTGGCAATGCGGGACAGATGAAGTATCAGTAGACAAACATGTGGCCACCCGTTCTTTCTCACTATACCCTACTGAGTTTATTGGTCAAACACATTTAAAATGGAGAAGCAATGAACAAATGGTAGCTTAACTAAGGAGAAATTTTCTTTTGGTCACTTATATCTGCTCCTTCACTCTTGATCTTGGGATTCCAAGTGGGTCACTTCAGAATCATGTCACAGGATCACAAGGCCAAGCCAGCAATACTCAGGGGTCATCCAGAGGACAGAAGTTCTCCTGCTTCTTTGAAACCAGGTAAGGATTATCTCCAGTTGGCTGCATGGCGCAGTCACCTGGGGGGTGTGGCTTTCACTGCAATTACCTGTTTACACTAGAGGAATCCATTTCATTGGTCAGGGAGAGGCCTGGACATTGAATTTTAAAATAGTTCACAACTGCTTCTTCAAAGAACTGCTGATGTATAACCCAATTAGTTTCCCTATCAAAGTCCAATCTCTCCTAACATGTCTGCACATTGTAGCAGGTGAGGTATACTCACGGCCTCACCTTCTTGTGGACATACATTTGGTGCAAAGTTATCTACCCAAACATACAATGTAACTCCCTCCTCCATATCTAGCAAATCACAGATGAAAAAGCAAAAGTAATGAAAGAGTCCTTCAATCAGAGCACAGTTGGGTTAATGGTCTTTAGCTCAGCAAGTTTCTTTGAGGCAGTGACCCTGACATACTCAAACAGCTCTGGGCACATCTGTCCTTGAGATGCCCTTGGCTTCACTCCCAAAGGCTGCTGTTGCTTGTCCTCCTGCCCCTGAGTCACTGCACTTACATGTCTCACTGATGCTTGTTTCCCTTGTGATTACCGAAGGATGTGCATGATGTCCTTTCCTTCTGGATCCTTCAGCTCAATGAATGCTCCCTTTCTGGGGTAGAGCAATTCAGTTTCTTCTAGACTTTCTCCCACCCATCCAGGTCCCCATGGGATTTCTAGTAAATGAATTCACCCCTTCTGTAGGATTTTTGATTTTGAATAATCCCTAACAAGCATGTCAGCCTGTTCTGTGAGGCTTCGAATCAGCCAATCATTTCTCCTGCCTAGCTATGGAAGTCCTTGTTAATGTTTTGGTTCTAGAATGTCGCCCAAAGGCTCCTGTATGAAGGCTTGGTCCCCAGTGCAGCAATGTCTAGAGGGAGGGCTCTGGGAACTCATGGGATCTTGAGCTCTGTGATCTCATCAATAGATTAACCCATTGATGGATTCTCAGGGGAATGGACCATTGGGTGTTGGTGGAAACTGTACAGGTGGGACCAGGTGAAGTGAATGTGTCCTTGTGTCACTTGAGGACTGTATCTTGACACTGCTATCTTTCTTTCTCTTTCCTGGATGTTATAAGGTGACAGTTTTTCTCCACCCTTATTTTTTTACCTTGTTATATGACTAAAACCAAAGGAGCTGGCCAACCATGGACTAAAACCTCTGAAACCATGAACCAAAATAAACCTTTCCTTGTTTAGATTTTTTTCAGCTATATTGTTACAGCCATGAAAAGATGCCTTACTCTGTCATAGATGACTTTTCCTTCCAACATAAGGCTGTTTAGTCTGTACTGAAAATCTGTTCTTTACTGTAGCTGCCATCATCAATGGTCCTCGCCAAACCTTCTTAGTACCTTGCTGTGCCTTCTCCATGGGCACTTGCTGCTTCATCTTGTACTTGGATGTTCTAGAGAGGTCCTTTCCTTAAGCCTCATGAATCCACCTCTGCTAGCTTCACATTTTTTCTTCTGCGGCTTCCTCACCTCTCTTGACTTTCATAGCATTGTAGAGAGTTAAGGTCTTGGTCTGGATTAGACTTTGTTGAAGGGAATGTGGTGGCTGGTTTGATCTTTCATCCAGACACTAGAACTTTCTCCATAGCAGCAATTACAATGTTTTGCTTTCTTATCATTCATGTGTTCATTGGGCAGAACTTTTAATTTCCTTGAATAATTTTTCTTTTGCATTCACTACCTGTCTAACTCTGACAGGAGTCCCAGCTTCTGGCTGATCTTGGCCTTCCACATGCCTTTCTTACAAAGGTCAATAATTTCTTGCTTTTGATTTAAAGGTAGGGACCAAATTAATCTTTCCATCACTTGAACACATAGAGGCTATTATAAGGCTATTAATAGGCCTCAGTTCAATATTGTTAAGTGTCAGGCAATAACAAGGCCTAAGAAGGGGATGAGAGATGGGGGAGTGGTTGATCTTGGAGCAGTAGAATAAGGCAACCTTTATTGATTAAGTTCACAATCTCATATGGGTGACTTCACTGTGCTTCCAAGCCATTACAATAGTAACATAAAACATCACTGATAACAAATCACCATGGGAGCTATATTTTAAACTTTTATACATTTAAAAAAAATTTGGTACTGGTGATTGATCCATGGGGGCTTAAACCAGTGAGCACCATCCACAAACCTTTTTCAGTTTTTATTTTGATACAGGGTCTCACTATATTGTTTAGGGTTCTCACTACATTGCTGTGGCTGGCCTCAAATTTGCAACCCTCTTGCATCAGTCCTCAGAGCTGCTATTGTTACAGGTGTGTGCCACCACATCCAGCATGTGCTATATTAATAATGGGAAAGTTTCAGAATCTTGCAAGAATTATCAAAATGTGACAGAGAGAAATGAAGGGAGCACATGCTTTTGAAAAACTGATGCTAATTTATTATTCAATGCATGGTTTTAAGAAGTCTTTAATTTTTACAAAATGCAATACCTACAAAAGTACAATATTCAAAACATAATGCCTGTACTGTAATATATCTCTTATATTAGACTTAGTGCATAATATTTTTCAAAAAGCATAGATGAAGGAGAATATGTTATGTGTTAACTTCATGTCAGGAGAGTACAACGGATACTGTCTTTATATTAAAGGACTGCCCAGGTCTAATGAGCTGTGAGAATCACTGACTTGAAAGGATCCTGTCTCAAGTTTGAATAGTAGAATAAGGAGGAAACTGATTGTATAGATATCAACTCAGAAAAATATATATTGAAAAAGTGTGTACAATCAGCTCTATGAAAGCTACTCAAGAGATTTTATAGTAAATCCAGAAGTAACTGTAGTTTTTTGTTTGTTTGTTGTGTTTTGTTTTATCTCCTTCATCACAGGAAAACAAGAACAAACTTCTGTGGTGAGTCCTGCCTTCTGGAAGCTAGGGTCCTGGGGCTTTGTATGACACTGTCTTTAGTCATACTTTATTGGATGTCACTGCATATAGCAGTGTAAAATTGTACATCGCTTAGTGTAACAATTCTAGTTAAGGACTTAGTTCGGTGCTGGGTGTCTAGTTTCAACAAATAAATGTACTAAATGCTGAGAAAGATGTTCTGGCTCAAACAGGTCTTTTTTTTTATCAACTTACCTAAAGAGCTGAATTTTATCCAGTCCTGGTGGCCCACGGCTGTAATCCTAGTGTCTTGGGAAGCTGAGGCTAGAGGATCTGCAGTTCAAAGCCAGCCTCAGCAACTTAGTGAGACCCTCTTTCAAAATCAAATATGAAAAAAGGCTGGGGATGTAGTTCATACCCACCTGGATTCAATACCCACCCCCCACCTCGCCATAATGCTCCACTCCCAAAGAAAAGCTGAATTTTAAAGTCAAGCAGATTCTTTCTGACTGTGTACACTCTTTTGTTCTTGGGTGGCAGAATTTTAGTTTAGACACCAAAAAATACATTGTTACCTGAAGACCCAAATCCCTTTTACATGTCATTGTCAGTTGTGATGTTGGACAGATGATGTCTGTGTCTAGTATTTTAAAAAGTGAATTCTTGTCCTTTCATGTTTCTTTTTCATTCATCACTTCCTATAATAAATATCCTCTTCTTTCATTCCAATTTAGTGTCTGAATGATGGGATCTTTTGTAATATGGGGAAGAGCTGGATTTTTAAATTCATCTGTGGCTCTCTGTATTAAACATCTTCTCATTTGCATGCTTAAACTTTCAATTGAAACATAAACCAGAACAAAGAAGTGAAGTCTGAGTACAGGTAAGAAGATGGTTTGAGCTCCATGCACTGGTGCTGGTGTACTTTGTGCATAGAATCAGCCTCTCCTTAGGTTGGTCAACTTCTAGTTGAACGACAGATAGAGGATGGTAATTTATCATAATTCTTAACACATAAGCTTGAAGCTGCAAGCTAAGAGCACACCAACAACAGCACACGTTGACAATACAGGATGCAGAGATGCCAGGAAATGTTAGCAAGCCTTTGAAGGATGAACATGTCCAGTCATAAAGGGATTAGGAGCTTAAGATCAAGGATCTTTTAGTCTCTTTATGGCCTCTGAATAGATTGCTGCCTATTAATATTGAACAATGGTTAAAGTTTGTGGTTTTGATTTGTTAGGGAAACTTATTATAATCCGGAACCTTTAGTTAATGAGACAGATCAGGGTATTACATAAGGGTGTAACATCCGTGTTGGGGAGCAGGAGAAAGTTCACTGGAGGAAGGACGGAAGTGTAGAGGTTGGACAAATAGGATCCAAGATGTGGGCAGTAGAGGTAGCCAGGAAAGGAGGAGCCAGGGTTGGGGAGGGCCTGGCAGCCAGAGAGGGATAAAATCACCTTGGCTGCAGGATGGATCACTTCCCCTCTGCTTAGTTGCAGGTACAGCTCCAGGTCAGAATCAACCATGGTGACAACTCTGCACCTCCCACTGCTCCTGCTGTCAGCCTTGGTGGCTTTCTGTGCAGCCAGTGAGAGTTCCAAGCTGAGTAGTAGCTCTCAAGAAACACTGGGTGACCTGGAGGATGCTGACATCCATGAGGAGGGCGTTCAACAGGCAATAGACTACTCCGTGGGCGTTTACAACCAGGAGAACAACAACCTGTATTACAGCCGTGTGCGGAGGGTGGTGCGTGCCCGTCAGCAGGTGTGTGCTGATCCCTGGGCCTGGGTCAGAAGGACTTGCCCCTCACAGGGCGTGTCATGCTTCCCCAGGCCCACCCTTTCCCTTTTAGCTACTGCTTCCCATTTGGGAATCCAGAGCCAGAAGCTCTGGGGTGCGCAGCAGCTATGGCCTGGGGCTGCTCTGATCTGCCAGGTTAGTTACACAAACTGCTGCTCACCCAAGCCCTGTCCTAGGTAATTTTCTGTCGCCCTGCAGCCCTTTGGGTTCCTGTCCTGGGGATTGTCCTCAGACAGGACCTGGAAACCCACCTTGCCTGGAGCTCTAGGTGGGTGCCAGGGGTTTTATTTCTGTTTCCAGCTACCATCAGGCAAGGAGCACCAGGGCTACAGGTCAGGATGAGAGTCAGGGTCTGCCCTGGTTATAGATCCCTACCACCAGCCTGGAGAGGGCCTGGAATTAGTGTGAACTGTTAACTGAATGACTACAGGAGATGGCCAAAACATATGCCCCTTGGATGCCTTCAACAAGATCTTTAGAGTGTTTTCCCCTTTTATTTTGGCATTATTGCATCTCTAGATCCTCATAGTAGGCCAAGTTTCCTCCTTGGTCCTCGTTCTTCCAGGACACATGTGTACATGCATGTATTTGTATGCATTTATTTTTCTGGACCTTTTTAGAGTCAACACTTCAGTGCACCTTTCTCGCAAACATGGACATTCTCTTACCTTATCTATGATTCAGTTTTGAAAATCTGGAGTTAACACTGTCATATTCAGTTAGCTAATTCACAGACTTAAATTTGGTGATGTCCAGTGATGGATGTCCCCGTATGCTACAGTCACTGTCCTGTCTCAGCTGTGGTGTGCAGTTATGTGCCCACAAGGATGACCACATATACACTGTAGTTCCTTAAGAAGGTATCACCTAGTGACATTGTAGGCATAGTAGTTTGTTATGTAGAATATGACATTTGCACAGCAAAATCCTGTAAAGACACATTTCTCAGAGAATGTCCGTGCAGTTAAGCTACACATAAGTGTATAGACTGCTCATTCTGGGTGTCTCAGATTTTTCCTCAGGATGGACCCCATTCAGAGTCCTCTGAATAGGTACCACTCAACATGTCCCAAGTAGCCTTCATTCCCTGTGTATGGCATACACTGTGAGCATTCCCTGGGAGTAGACTCCAGGGACCAGTGTCCCCCACACTGAGAGAGTGCATCATGGTGAGTGGTTGTGGGCAACTGAGTGCCCCCTGGGGTTGAGAAGACCTCAGCTGGACACAGCCAGGTGACCATGGACTGAAACTTCTGGAACCCTGAGCCAAGATAAAATTTTCTTCTCAGTAGTTCATATCAGATATTTTGGTCACAGTGATGAAAAGCTGACTAACACACTAGGTAAACATTATTAACTCAGTGACATAAAGTAACAGCATACATGTGAAAGTGACCTGGAGTGTTGCCAATTAATCCTGCTCTTTTCATTGTAGGTTGTCGCTGGGATGAACTACTACTTGGATTTGGAGATGGGTCGAACCACCTGCACTAAGACTCAGTCTGACCTATCTGAATGTGCCTTTGATGATTCACAAGATGAGCAGGTATGTCATTGATGTGGGCCCAGGGCTGATCATGAAGACTTCCATGTGAGCTTGTTTGTATGCTCATGTGTGAGAGTGTCAAGAGATGCATGTGTGTTCATGCATGGGTGCATGTGTTGACTGTGGGTAGATGAGTGGGGGAAGCATGGTGTTTCATGAATAGGTATATGTGAATGTGGGGTGTGTGTGAGTTAATGTACATGTTGACCTGTGCACATGTGGGGTGCTGCAGGAGGGGCCATGTGGGTACACATGATCAACTTGAATTACACAGTGGGTTTTCCCTTCTAATTAGGGTCCCAGGAGGACACTCTTTTGTGTTTGGGTGTTCTGCCTGCTGGCCTGAAGGACATAGCTACAGGATTATTGCTGGGGAGGGAGAAAAATCTCTGTCAATGCCAACTTTGGCCACCTGCCCAGAGCCATGCTGGACAGATTAGGGGCCTGAAAGCAGATGAAACCCTCTGGTGCTGTCCCTGCTTTCTCCGTGCCAGCCTCTCTATGGCCCTGGGGTGAGCTGCCCTCACCTGGTGTACCTTCCCCCGACTCTGCCTATTTCAGTGTTGTTTCCTATGCTGCCACTTCTTCCCTCTGTGCCCCTGTTGGTGCTGGCCTAGGTGCTGGAGGTGGAGGGAGTTGGGACAGTGAGCAGCCTTCCCTGCCCTGCACCCCTGTGTCTCCCACAGCCTGACCCAATCTGCTTCTTAGTCGACTGGAGTTGAGCTGGGGGCAGGTGGATGTGGAATCCTATGAACTGGGGAGAGATTAACATGCCTTCTGGTGGACTTAGAGCAATGGGAGGGTAATGAGTAGATACTGCTGAGTTTGGTTGAATGTGAGATTTGGACTTGGCAAGGGTGGTTGGAGGCTGAGAGTCCCACCTCCGTCATTCTGTACCCCATGTCTGACATCTCAGATTGGACATTTCCCCTGTTAATTGAAACTCACACGGTTTGTCCTTTCTCTTCCCTTTTGCAGAGGACCTTCTGCTCCTTCCAGGTCTACAGTGTGCCCTGGCTGGGCCAAATCTCCGTGACAGAATACAGTTGTCACAATGAGTAAGGGTATGCGCCAGGCAGAGCTGCATTGGCCACCCCTTCCTCATCCCACTCTCCTTTAATGCCCCAAATCCCTGATATCCCCCAGCCCTTATTGTGTCAGCATCAGCAGAACAGTAGAAGTGGCTTCTGTGGACAAGTGTTGAAACCGAATGGCTCTTCCTGTGTTCATTCCTTCTCATTATTTTTCAAACACATTGGTGCCTGGCCCATAAGGACCTCTCCTGCCTTGCCAATAAAAAGTGACATGTATTCCTCCTGAGTAGTTGCTGTCTTGGGGGTGCATGCAGGAAGGGTCTGCCGCAGATGGGGAGCTGAGGCCTACATGTGCGCACTGGGGCCAGTGCTGCCACTTTTTGGGATATCTGGTCTCAGAAGACTGAAGAGAGGTGATGGGGTGGGATTGCAGGTATCCAGCTGCAGCTACTGCTGGGGAATGGAGAAGAGAGAGTAGGGACCTAGACTATCCTTCTGGAAGTCTGGCTGCTGTCTTTGAAAGAAGTTAGATGGTGAGGAGAGTCTGGGCAGTGCCCAGGGTTGGGGGTGGCCTTCTGCATTTATGTACAACTGTGGGCGGCTGGCACTGTCCTGTCCCTGAAAGATTCCAAGAGACTGAACAACCAGTAATTTCTGTCTCCTATCCATGCAAGGTTTAGGCACCTACATGAAACAAAGGCTGAAAATACATTAGTGTGCAGGTAACTGGGGATGTACCAGTCAGAATCCAGAACAGAGCAATGTAATGCAGAGTGGGGGCCTCTGGGATTGGTGCTCAGTAGGGTTCACAGATGGACACTCCCTGCGTTATCTTTGCACTTGATTGTAAAACATTCCTTGTGCTCAGCTTTCTTAAGGGATTAAGCATTGAAAACACAAAGAAGTTGACATGCAGTGGACTTGCTTCTGTTTCCAAGAGGAAGTTTTCATTAATATCACCTTGATGTCACTACTGGTGCAAAGAACAGGGATACGTTATCACCAAAAATGGAGATCCTGGTGAAATAAAAGATACATGCTTCACTCCTTTCTGCACTGGGGAAAAGGTGAAGCCCTTACAATCCGAGTCACTGGTATAGGGCTCTCAAATTCCTTCTAGGAACTGCATTAGAAATCTTTCTTGCTGTCACTGCTATAATCACTGAAGGTAAAATGATAAACAGAGACCCACAAAGACAGTCAGGCTTGAACTCCAGGAGTTTTGGAGTAGAAAGGGGAGTCCAGCCAGCAAGGTAAAGCGCCCCCTTCCATGGTGCTTCATTTTCTATCTAGCCATTCAGGCACATCCTTCTCACCCCTGATTGGATTTGACTGTGACCAGTGATCCTGGGGAGGAAGCCCACCTGTTGTATGCACTACATGCTTGGTTTTACATTATTCATTTATTTTCAATGTATATTCTAAGTATATATTTTATATAAGATAATCCCCAGAAATAGGTTCAGTACAGTGTCTTGCTTAGGGTATAACTCAATAAGTTTTAGACAGTTTTCATTAGTGTGGTAATATGTTATGGAGATTTTAAAACATGGCCCTGAGCCTCTTTGCCACTGCTGGCATGGAGGAGTGGGTTCTGTGTCCCTGCCTCTTACCTCTGCCAAGGCTTGTGATTACATCAATAAAAATTGCTCAGGAAGGGAGATGGGTGACCTTGAGGCTTGGGTCAGGAATATTCTCTCCTGAGTTCTCTTGGACCCTCGCCCTTGGGGAAGTGAGGCTCCTTGTGAGGTGCTGAATCTCAAGATTTCCATGCTGAGAGACCTTAGGAGGTGCTCCAGGTGACAACTCAAGCTAAGCTCCTTGCCAAGACGTGCATCACCTGCTGACAGGTGAGTGGGTCACTATGGATGTCCAGTCCTCCTTCAGTTCCCAGATGACTGCAGCACCAGCTGACATATGACTGCAACCATGTGGACACTCCAAGCAGGAAACGCCCAGCTGGCCTTTCTGAGTTCCTGGACATTTGGTTAGCACTCCACTAAGTGTTAAGGTGCATTGTTACACAGCAGTAGGGTCTGGGACATGCCTCTGGGTGTATGTGTTTAAAGTGGTGTTGCCCAGGATCCTTGGCGCCAGAACTCCTGGGAGTGAATTCTAACCAGATCTGATTTAGGTCAGTACCTTACACTTGCTGAGTCTCCCTTATCTCATCTGTACAGTGGGAGAAGTGATAGTACCTTTCTTATTGTTTGTACACATTCAGCGAAAAGAATGTGGTGATGTGTTATAGTTTATTACACGAAGACAGTGAATGCATATTAATCCAGTCAAAATGTTCAATATGCTGTCATATTGTCTAAGTTCATTTTTTTTCCAAATGAGTCTTTTAAATACACACACACACACACACACACACACACATATATATATATATCTTAGTTGTAGAAGGACACAATAACTTAATTTTACTTATTTTTATGGTGCTGAGTATTGAACCCAGGGCCTCGCACATGTGAGGCAAGCACACTACCACTAAGCCACAACCACAGCCCGTCCAAATGATTCTTTAACCATGTAATGTTTTGTCTGTTTTCCTAAAAAGCCGTCAATAATCATTTTGATCCCATAGCAGATTCACATGGCATCATTGTTCCATTTATATATCTCAGTCCCATTTGTGTCTGTTCCTTTCCTTGCCTTCTCTTTCTTTTTCCAACCACACCATGTAGATAAGGACATGTTCTTAATTGTGTTTTTCTCTCCTAGATTTTGTTTTCTGAATGTATTTGTTCTTCCAGAAGAAAGTATTTTTTTTAGTTCTGAAAGTAGAACTGTTGTTTTTTGAACCAGGAGTACAGTTCAATATTTATATTCCAATTTAGGAAAAATCTGGACAACATTTAATATTCTAGCTTTTCACTTAGGCATACTTTAATCATGTCCTTCAGTGTTTAATCATGTCCTTCAGTGGAGTAAAAAAGACGTTTAGTATTTGTACCTTTCGTATTTTCCTAAATTTATTCCTGGATATCTGATTTTTTTGTTGTTATTGTTGTGACCATCTCCCTCTTGTTGAAGTAGTCAGCCATCAATGACGATGTTCCCTGTTCCCATCCATGTTCCCTGATTCTCTTGCAGCTGCTCTGGGGGCTGTCATTCACAGGCTCTAAGAGGCTTGGGTGCTTCACATGCAGGAGCTGGCTTATAACAGTTGGCACAAGTGGCCTTGGATGAAGCCAGGGCTTCAATCTTAGATGCAGAGACAGAAAAGTCCACCCTACCTGGCAATGCTGGACAGATGAGGCAAGTGTAGACAAACATGTGGCCACCCATTCCTTCTCACTATACCCTACTTAATTCATTGGTCAATCACATTTAAAATGGAGAAGCTGTGAGCAAAATGGCAGCTTAACTAAGGAGCAATTTCTCTTATGGTCACTCATATCTGTTCCTTTACTCTTGGTCTTGGGATTCCAAGTGGGTCACTTCAGAATCAAGTTACAGGATCACAAGGCCAAGTCAGCAATTCTCAGGGGTCATTCTGAGGACAGGAGCTCTCCTGCTCCCTTGAAACTAGATAAGGATTATCTGTGATGATGGTTTCCAGTTGGCTGCATGGCACAGTCTCTTGAGAGTGTGGCTCTCACTTCAACCACCTGTTCTCACTGGAGGAATCAGTCTTATTGGTCTGAGAGAGGCCTGGGCACTGGATTTTATAACAGTTCACAACTGTTTCTCCAAAAAACTGCCGATGTATAACTTAATTAGGTTCCCTGTCAAAGTCCAATCGTTCCTAAAACATCTGCACATTGTAGCAGGTGAGGTAAACTCATGGCTTCACCTTCCTCTGGACATATTTTTGGTGCCAGGTTATCTACTAAAACATACAATGTAACTCCCTCCTCCATATCTAGCAAATAACAGATGAAAAAGCAAAAGTAAATGAAAGAGTCCTTCAATCAGAGCACAGTTGGGTTAATGGCCTTTAGCTCAGCAGGTTTCTTTGAGGCAGTGACCCCAGCATCTTCAAACCACTCTGGGCACATCTGTCCTTGACATGTCCTTGGCTTCACTCCCAAAGGCTGCTGTTGCTTGTCCTTCTGCCCACTGAGTCACTCGGGTCTTACATGTCTCACTGATGCTTGTTTCCCTTGTGATTACCCAAGGATGTTCATGATGTCCTTTCCTTCTGGATCCTTCAGCTCAATGAATGCTCCCTTTCTGGGGTAGAGCAATTCAGTTTCTTCTAGACTTTCTCCCACCCATCCAGGTCCCCATGGGATTTCTAGTCAACAAATTCACCCCTTCTGTAAGACTTTTGATTTTGAATAATCCCTAATAAGCGTGTCAGCCTGTTCTGTGAGGCTTCGAATCAGGCCTTCATTTCTCCTGCCTAGCTATGGAAGTCCTTGTTAATATTTGGTTCTAGAATGTCGCCCAAAGGCTCCTGTATGAAGGCTTGGTCCTCAGTGCAGCAGTGTCTACAGGGAGGGCTCTGGGAACTCATGGGATCTTGAGCTCTGTGATCTCATCAATAGATTAACCCAATGATGGATTCACAGGGGAATGGACCATTGGGTGTTGGTGGAAACTGTACAGGTGGGAGCAGCTGAAGTGAATGTGTCCTTGGGGTCACTTGAGGACTGTATCTTGTCACCACTACCTGTCTTTCTTTCTCTTTCCTGGCTGTCATGAAGTGAAAGTTTTCCTCCACCCTTATTTTTTCTGCCTTGTTATATGACTAAAACCAAAGGAGCTGGCCAACCATGGACTAAAACCTCTGAAACCATGAACCAAAATAAACCTTTCCTTGTTTAGAGTTTTTTCAGCTATATTGTTACAGCCATGAAAAGATGCCTTACTCTGTCATAGATGACTTTTCCTTCCAATATAAAGCTGTTTAGTCTGTACTGAAAATCTGCTTTTTACTGTAGCCACCATCATCAATGGTCCTTGCTAGACCTTCTTAGTACCTTGCTGTGCCTTCTCCATGGGCACTTGCTGGTTTATCTTGTTTTGATGTTCTAGAGAGGTCCTTTCCTTAAGCCTCATGAACCCACCTCTGCT